AATCAGGGCATTAACAACCAGATTGTAAGATGGAAAAGCATCATCGATAAGAATGGAGACTATTTCATTTAATAACTGTTTTGTTTTTATATATAAGTTGTTTTGGGTTTTTTCATCTAAAAAAGCAAATTAATTTCTTGACCTAATAATAACCTTAAATGTAAACAATAATAACCAGCTGTCATTAAGACTGTTTTTGATGCTGCTTTTTCTATAAAACTGCATTCTCACAAATTCTTATGTTAAGATTATCTTTTTGTAATTTTACTGATGAATGAAGAAATTCTTAGATTAATATGTGTAGAAAAGCTCTGTTTTGCACCGTATACAATTTAATTTCTTTTGATTATTGGTGGAAAGCAGTAATTTGCCCTTTCAGCTCAAATATTGATTTAATTTTTACTTTGAAATCTTTAGCAACAGTTCCACTAGCCATCAGAAACGTCAGTCTCTATCTCAACTACCTCAGTCTCCCAAAAGAGTGAAAAGTTTGCCTGACACCAAAGATGGTTACAGTACAAAAACTGGCTTTGAACGAAAACCCAAATCCTTAGCAGGGTAAGGAAATTGAATACTGTTGTGCTGTAGAATGTTGTATTTTTTTTTTTAAACATTTGGGTGACTTTTTGTACTTAGAGCATTCAGCCTTTCCAGCCTCCTTATAACATTGGCTGTTTATTTTGAGATTATTTGATGCCAGTGGTAAAAAAAGAAAAAATGCAGAAAGATTACTAATTTCCTTCTTTTCCAGATGATTTTATATTTGTTATAAATGTTTTTTCCTATTATAATTTCAAACTTAGGTATGTGAATGTTATGGTTTTTGTTTTTGCATTTCTCAAGTTTTGTTCATAAAGTAATTTTTATTGTACGTGTTGAAAGTTTGTGTATTATTGTTGAGTTATTTTATTAGTCCACACTGTACCATGACATTTTAAAAGTAAAAACAAAAGAGAATTGAGAAAGTTTTCAGATGTGAAATACTTAAAATTCTAGATATTATTGTGATGGTGTGATTACTCTTCTTTAAATTAATCCTAATTATTAACATGGCATACTGAAAGAAAGAATCTAAACTTGGGTATACATGCTTATGAAAGTAAAAAAGAATAAATGATTTCAAACATTTTGCTAAATGATTTTTATTGTTCTTTGCAAAAAAAAAGAGAGTAGGAATTTAAACCTTATATTTCTGTGTTTTTCTTTTTTCCTGGTAGGTTTGTAAATATTGGAAATTCTTGTTACATGAACTCTGTATTGCAAGCATTGTTTGGGGTAAGCTGCTTTGTGTCAGATTTCAAAGAAGTTGAAAAGAAACTAGGAAATGCTGTACCTGAAAAAAAGCCTCTTTTGGTAAGAAGAATCCATTAATTTACAATAATTAGAGTTTTTTCATTATATGTGTAATTGGGTGATCATTTTACAGTGCTAAATTAAAATTTTCTCCATCTTTAACTTTTTTAGTAATGGTAATCAAAGAGATCATCATGGCTGTGACAGTGACACATTTGTTGAGCATCATTTCTAACTCAAGCAAATTTGTATTTTTGAAATGTATAAATCTTAAAATGAATTCAAAGTTTCATAATTAATCCTGTAAGGTGAGTTTGTTTGTTTTTTACTAAAAATATTTTCAGAAAAGGTATATTTCTTGTAATATTCTGAATTATGAAACATTGCTTTGTACTTCAAAGATAAAACTATTTCAAGGATTGTTTCCTGAGATTTCTTAAAAGAGAGAAAAGTAAACATTGTGTTTTCATTTATTTAATTTTAAAGATAAGAAGCAGCAGTTTTATTTTGAAGTTCAGCATAGGAACTGATAATTGACAAGATTTTTAGGTGGTCCCTAAGGAAACTGAGAAATTGTCAATTTGAATGGATCTTGGTAGCTTTGAATGGTGTTATTTTATTGAGGAAAGAGTAATCTCGAAATTTAATTTTTTCATCTTTGTAATTTTGCAAGAATCCCTCAATAAAGAAATTATTCTTTGATAAATATAAAATTGTGGATAAGGAAAATGTTTCCTAGCAATGAATATACAGACTTTTTGTTAATTATATTAAACCATATTTGTGGTAATTTGTAAAAGTTTAGATACCAAGTACAGAAAAAACAATTAGACCTATCAAAATTTAATACGCCATTGAACAGATTGATTCTGATTTGTCATGAAATAATTTTCACATAGTTACCATACTCAAAGCACTAGGGATAGAAAACATCACTGAACAGACAGTCAAGGCTGAAAAATACTAGCAACATGCTCAAAAACACTGTTTCAGAACGAAAAAATACTGTAAATTGGGAGTACTTCTGGTCATAAAATTCAATTATTTATAGGCAGCATGTTAATTAATTCTACAAGACAACATCATGATCCACAATAGTAATTCTTCAGATCCGATAAGGATACATGTTAGTGGATCAAAATGTCACTTCTTATCATCTTTTTTTTAAAAAGGTTGTCTGTAAAACACTTGATTTTACTACCTATTAATGATAATGTGATTACTATCTGGTTCAATTACAAGAAATCAAATGTAATTTACAGAGTTGTATTTATTTACATTTAATCTTTTTATTGCTATTTGAAAAAGCATACTTTAAAAGTACTGATTTGAGAAAAATTACTACAAAAAATACCATAAAAAGGTAAAAAATATAAAGTAATAAAAATGGCATGTACGGTTATGCTGGAGTATTTAAATGTACTACAAGTTGCAATCTGTGCTTTTCTTAATTGAAACAAAATCATCTCTGTTGATAAATATAAAATTGTGGGGAAAAAAGCTTAATAATAATGTTATGAATTTATTACTTTCATAAACAGTATTGGTTAGAATGTTTAATATGTCTAACTTTATTATTTTTCATTTTTATAATTTTACTTTTATTATAGATATTGTTTTGCATTGTTTGCTCAATATATGGATTTAGGACTACCCTAAATCTCCTAAACCAGCTGAACCTCTTAAGGTATTATTAGGTTTAAGGCCAAAAATATCATTAACAGTGTGGATACCCAACTGATGAAACAATTCATTCTAATCTTTATAGGTAAGAAGATAAAAGCATATATAATTAGTCATTTCATTCATTACAAGGTTGATTTTTAGTAGTGTTTTGAGATACATATATATGTATATATCAGTTTGCATATGTGTATGTCAAACATTGTCAGTTCATTTTGACTAATAGATGAATCCTGTATACATGAACAGTTAATAAAAGTAAGTAGTAAGTGAAATTAGAATATATGAAGCATTTTTATTACTGTAATAAAATGTGACTAAGATGATGTTTTTTGTCAGGGCTATGGCATCTCTGCTTCACTGTAAACTAAACCAAATGGGCTCACCTGAAAGCCAGCAAAAACTTTTGGAACAAGTAAAAGATGCTGTCTGTAGCACTGCACCATGGTTCTTGGGAAATGATCAACATGTAAGTTTAGGAACTTAACTCTCAGTTTGTGTGATAAGGATTCTCTTAAAAAATAAAGTGTATAATACTTAGTAATATCTAAGATTTGGGTGATAATTTTTGACATTTGTGGAAAAATTTGTTTTAATTTATCTTTGCACATGACTTTTGAGGTTTACCAATGAAATGTAATATAAAAAAGATGGTTAATGTGAACAAGTTACAAAATGCTGCTATATCAGATAAAACCAAGTTTTATACTGCTTTGTCAAAAGTGTTGAATTTTTTTATTCTAAGTGTTCTTTATGGAAATGTATGTTGCATATCTCTTACCTTTGATATAAAAAACTGTTTTGCACAAATAGACCTTCAGGTCATTGTCTAATGTAAACTTGAGACCTTGACACAAATATACATAAAGTTTTGTTATATTAATGAAATCAATTTTCTACTTTACTGTTGTGCAAAGAAATGAAACTGTTAAATTGTTACAGATCATTAAGTTAAATATAATTAATTTTATTTCCTTGAAGTTTGTCAAATGTTATGTTTGTCAATTAAAGGCTTTTACTCATACTTCTTAATAGTATAAATATATATACTGTGTTGTTGTTTGGCTTATAAGATTCTTCTGCAGTAGGTGTCTGTGACTTGTTGGCAATAAATTCAAATAATAAATGAACAGCACTCACTCCACTTGTTTTCAAAATAATATATACAGTCCAGACCCATATAGTGGTCAACCCTTAATTACAGCCATTTTGGCTCAGTTCCAAATATTTCCTTCTATTTAATATTTGTAAAACATCTGCTATTATGGGCACTCGTATTGCAGTCAACTTGGCTTGTGGTCACGTTTCCCTCTCCGAAGCGGTCTCTTTAAACTCAGTATTGCAGCCACCCAGGTCGGCTCTCACCTTCCGCTGCCCAGTTGAGACCTGTCAATCAAAGTGAGGCTACTGCCGTACATTGAATGATAGCGGCCACATCTTGTAGGTGTTACCAACCAGGTGACCATTGATGTTCCCTGTTAATGGCACGTTAATCCTACCTGATGCTTCACACCTCATGCTGCACTGATGATCACACAGTCACACATACACGATCAAACAGTATGTTTTCACGCTTCTTTAAACTTTGTAATTTTAAACATTCTAATTTAATGTCACTTTGGTCTTCTTGTGAACAAAAGATTTGTTCAAAGGGGAAAATTTGTGCATTCATTTCAAGTTTTGTCACATTTCCCTCCATTTTGCAATAAATAAGGGTATGTACTGTGCCTTTGAGGCCTCAGTCTGATCCCAGAGTTGACTCCATACAGTGACACCAGGTAATATGCAACCATTAATTGCTTAGATCCACAGCTGATCGGATAAATGGGGCTAGACTGTATATTTGGAAATAGTTAAATGTATGTACAATAAATTACTTACACTATAGAGATCATAGGCTTATCATAAATACTATATAGTTCTCTTCTTCTTGTCAAACGTCCACTTAGGCCTATTCAGTTGCTTTAGAATTTCAGTTGACAAGCTGAACTAGTTTTCTCCATTTCTAACGCACTAGTATTTCGTGGATAATTCTCTGACAATTGTAGAGTGAGTTACCACAGTTGTATATTGTTTTTCATACCTCAAATATCGTCTGTTTCTTTTTGAATGATCTGCCTTTTGTCAAATTGCACTTGGGCTTGTTCAGTTACTTTAGAACACCCTTTGATGAGACAAACTATCCTTCTTATCTGTTTTAGCAACTGTTAGGCCTATATTAATCCTTAGGCATTTCTCTTCTGTGACAGTTAACTTTACATTTAACTTTTCTTTAGTCGAACTCCTTCCCCGTGACTTCACGCTGTTTTACTATCGTCTCTCTGTTTCCTTTTTCCTGTTCAGTCTCACATTATTTTATATGTTTATTACTTAATCTTCTGCTCACTATATCTTCGACATCAGTGAGTTATAAACACGACGTATGACTCTTACCAAGATACATAACAAAACATGTCATAACATATACTTTAAGATAATTGCTTCTAACTCTCTTGTTATAAACAAAACTAAATAATTATAAAATATTCACTCACAAAATAATTAATAATATCTACACTAAACAGTCTTTTATATCATGATAATTGTATGTTAGATAAGTAGTCATTTTTGACTGGAGATGTTTCTGATATACATAATTTTTTTGTATTTTGATTTATCGTGTGTAGCCCCAGAAGACATTTCTATATGTGTAACTGCTCTTACTCAATATGGCCTGGTGTGTAAGGCACTTGACTCGTAATCTGAGGGTTGCAAATTTGAATCCCCATCACCTTACATGCTCACCTATTTAGCTTTGGGGGAATTATAATGTGTCAGTCAATCCTACTATTGTTCCTAAAAAAATAGCCCAAGAGTTGTTGGTGGATAGTGTTGACTAGCTATCTTTCCTCTCTATCAGTGCTAAATTATGAATGGCTAGCACAGATAGTCCCCATTTAGCTTTGTGTGACTTACTCAGCATATTGGCTTTTCTAAATTCTAGTGTTGAAGGAAAATATAAACCATCTTTTATATCCTTGCTATTATTATGACATTACTATATTTCTTTTGCTCATTAACACTAAGAAATTAAAGTTACTTATTTTGTTAAATATAAAACTAATGTCTTCACTTAACCATTTAGTTTATGCTCACATCTGTCAATCAGTGTTTTGACTTTTTCTTTAAATATTTGGCTGTGAATATACATGTATAGTTCTGATACAGTATCAGCAAAAATAAAATACCAACCACTTGCCAGAGAGCTATATGATGTAAAAGATACATAGTAGCAGTAGTAATATGTCAAAGGAGAATTGAAATTGCTATTCAGGCTCTTCTGAAGAAAGGACTTGTAGCATATTTCTCCAATTGGATTAACACAAATAATTGCTTAATAGACTGTACATTTACTATTTACCCTGTATCATTTAAAATAAATTTTTATAACTTACTTTGGAAACCAAAACCACAGTTGCAGCCCATTTTCCAAATTAAAGTAAAGAAAGTAATTTAAAAGTGCATTGTGGAAATATATCAGTTGACTTTTATTTGCTTTAGGTACCCCATAAAATGTATATTTCATGACATTTTTATTTAAAAACCTTTCCCAAAAAACAATGTATAGTGTATTGTAGGTATACTTTAAGTATTTTTATTAGATACGGAACTTTTTTTTTTATACTTTCTAGGTAATTTTTTAAACATTTTCATTGGTCTGTTGCAAATGTTGTCAAAGTTTGGTTATTGGTAATGTCATGTTATTCTGATTTATTCAGAAAATATCTATCTTAAAAATATTTTAATATTTTAGGATGCTCACGAGTTCCTTGGTCAGGTTCTTGATCAGTTAAAAGAAGAAATTGATAAATTCTACAGTGACTCTGATGACTTAAGTGATACCTCAGAAATGGACAGCCTCAATCCTGTTCGTAGGAATTTTGAGTTTGAAATGTTGAATTCATACCTGTGTCAGAAGTTGGTATTATTCTTATTTTAAAACATTTTTAATTTATTGCCCCAAATTATGTTTAGTACATATATATGACTATTTTTATACAAACAATCATAAGTTCTTAGCCAAACTGATTACACTTTTATAAAAGTGGTTGCCATTGTTTTTATTAAAACCATTTGGGTCCCCAAATACTCCTATAAAACATTACAAACATGTTAAAGGAAGTAATTGTTTTTTCGATCTCATTGACACATGTATATTTTTCTGAATGAGTAAAAGTATATCATTATTACATTGCGAACATTATATTTTATTGTCCTAAGGATACTCTTAACTTTTATCATGATTTAATAGAACTTCCCTCTCATAAAATTTAATATGTTAATGTATTTCAAGATTGAAAATTCAATTAAAAAAGATTGGGAGGGATTTGTTTTAGTGTAACTTTCAATACAGTGACATATTGTGGAATGATTTTTTGCTTTTAAGTTTTAAAGAAAGTTTCATATTTATGGTTAAATTTATTTCACTGATTTAGTAATGACAAGTTTGTGTCTTATTGTAAAAGTCTACTGTATTTCATATTTCCACATTCATAAGTATATATTTTAAAAAATTATGTGACAGAATATTTAATAATGCTATTTTCACAGCAAAAAACAGTAAAATTTGTTGGTAAATTGTAGGAACTGTCTAGCAAAATCAAATTAAAATTAAGTACTTTCAAAGGATCTTCACCTTTTAAATATTAAGCATTTAAGGTAACTTCTTTTCATGAAGAAACAAGCATTGAAATTTTCGGCTTAAGAATCTACTGAGCACTTCATTTATCTCATGCTTTTTTTCTGTTGTATTGAAACCGTCAGTAAAATTTCTTGAAGTAATCACTAATTACTTTTGAACCCTAGTAAGCGAACTGTATATATCAGAATGAAAATAAGTTTAATTTTATGTGACAAACTGACTAGAAAGACATAATGTTGTAAGTCAATACACAAAACTTAGCTCTGTGATGATCAGAATACACTGAGTTGTCTGTTAGGGACCCTAACTGTTGATGTTATTTTCAGTCATAATCTCAATAATATTTCATAGGATTGGGCCAGCTTAGGAAATTTAGATTAGTGGTAAACCCACATTCTAAGAGAATTGAATAACCTTCATAACTGCAAAAAATTTTAATATTAATGTAATAACTAAAGAAGATTTAATATGTCATTACTTTAAAAACACAAACTGATAACAACCAAGTTGTTTTTGTTTAAGATCATCACAACTTAGAAATACAAGAAACCTGAACATTAACAAAAAAAAGACTCACCAAAGGTACAAAAAAGGGGTAAAAATCACAAATAAGAACACAATTCGCTTTTTTCATTTTGTAAAGGTGTGCAACAGTTATTTTCGTTAGCATATACAGAGGCTAGTTTTTTATATATATGCTTTATATATAAAATGTTAGATGCTTACAGAAATTGTGTCACCTTTCTCACACTAGGTGAAATTCAGGATTTTTTAAAATATTGCCTTATAAAATTAAGAACTTAAAACTTGTATACTATTAAAATATAGACTATTAGCTATGATTTTATGCTATACTAATTGGTATAACACAAACAAAAAAGTAGTTTGATTAAATTTTGAACATAAGCCACTAAAACCTCGTGACATGCACAGTAAATGATGCACAGACAGATAGGGTTAATTATGAATATAATTTCCATACTTCAGCTACAGTAATTCATATACTGTATAATTTATTGTTTTTATTTTTAAGACATTTAGGACATATTTAGAATATACTATAGTAGTATATTTAGACTTGTCAATTATGATTGAGAAGTTTAAAACTAAATCTTTATAAACATTTTTCAGTATAGACAAAAAAATCAAAAACTTCTACATAAATTTAAATAATAACCTTTCACCTTAAAGAGTAAATAGGTAAAGAATTTTATCATTGGGTGGAGACTATTCATTGTGTTAGATAATGATCATTCCTGACATAAATGTTAAGTTGTGTTACCTCTTCATATAAAATAATTTTTAGAACTAAGAAAAAGGAATGAGTAAGGTTTGTTATAAAAGATGATTTTCTTTTTTACACAGGTGTGAAGATATCATACCTAGAAAAGAAAAGTTTTATATATTATCAGTTGATCTTCCAAAGGGCCTGTAAGTTCATACTTTCTCTTTTAATCTATTTGCTTTGACTTTAATGTCATTAAACACTGATATTAAATTATAATGATATTCACTTTACCTTATATTATTGTGTAATATATATATATATATAAAATAAAACAAACAAACAGGTTTTTTGGTATATCCCTCGAAAGCTGATATTCTAACTTATAAAATTAAACCAGAGAATCAATTAAATCGATGCCGGTAAAGATAACTTTAATTATTAAAAAAAAATTAAATTTGGGTGGACATGTATAAGTGTCTCCTAAAAGGCACGTGTGTGTGTGTGTATGTATGTATGTGTATATATATATATATATATATATATCACCAAAGTTTTGATTTTTGTAGTAAATTCAAGCATGACATTCATTTATGTGTATGTTTATACCAGTAAACAGGAATTATCTTCATGGGAGCTCACTGTCAAACTATATTCACAGCTCACTTTAATTTGTTCACATTACATTAATTTTTGAACAACAAAAACAGTATAGCCCCTTTCTTCCCACAAATTTTTCAGTTTTTGAGGGTATGAAAGATTGACATTTAAAGAAAAAGCAACTTATAGAGATCTGTTTTTGAATGAAAACAAGCTTAGACATATAACGTGACAAATGATTTTCATAAAATAGTATCGTGAAACAAAGCGCATACTATAGTTTCATTACCTGGCAGGTAAATTTGTTCTAACAGCATGGCTTTACTCAGTAATCACTGTGCAATGTAAACATTGAGGCATAAAAAATTGTATGCTCTTACTTGTTCTGTTAGAGAGGGGAACCATTTTTTATAATAGATTTTTATTTTCTAAACTGATGTAGTTTGTTGTATAGTATACTTCTAAATTTTTAAGTTCTCTAATGACTTTTTTTCTTTAAAACTAACCAGTATATTGTTTAAGCCAGATATTTCTGAAAATACATAAGGTAAAGTATTTAATGAGGAGTGATCTTCTTTTATTGTTACTTTGCAGTGATACTTCCATACCTGCATCACTTCAAGATGCAGTAGACACATATTTTCTGCCAGAAAAATTTGAATTTTCATGTGAAAAGTGCAGAGGAAAAGATGCAAAGTGCTTAGAGAGGTTTCATCGCCTTCCCAGGTAATCATGTTATTGATTTTGTTTGATAATATTACACTGTTTGTTTATATTTAATTCACTAGTCAGTTTTATGTTGGTTGAATGAGCTGCATTGTGATTGACAGGTCCATTTATTCCCTTGGGGAATATGTGAAAGAAATCACACTGGTGCCGTGTTGGCAATATATGATGACTATGGCATTTGCATCTGCATGATACCTTAACACCCCTATCAAATTATGCCATTTGTGAAATATGACCTATTGAACTGTAAAGCTTTCTTTTTTTATCACCCTAGGGATAATAACCCTAAACCTATTTCATATTTGAGAATTATTTTTTAAAGCTGTATCCAATCCTGAAAAATGAATCTTTCTATTATAGGGTCCTTGTTATCCACTTAAAAAGGTATGGTTTTGACCATCACTCCCTGAAGGTAGCTGTTCCTGTTATTATTCCAAAATTCATAACACTTCAGAACCATGTGACAGACACTGTTGTTGATCCAATAGGCATCGTTAAGTAAGTATATATTTATTGGAGAACTATCATACTTATTATTTACACCTTGTTGTATTTGAATGTAAGAAATCACAATAGTATCAAATAATATAAGTATCGTGCCTTTAAGGTTGACATTCACCTGTGCCAGTCTTCCTTCCGGAGTTCTGGTGCTATATATTAGTATCATTAAAAGTTATTGTGCTCTTGAATTTTGCAGTTCTGCATGTGTGGGTACATATGTACATTTATATTTATGCACGTGTATTCACTATCTATGTTTTTTTAGAACCAAATGTTCTGAACTGTATGAAATACTAATGAACAGTATAATAGTTATGTGAATATATGTATACAGTGTATAACAAATAGAGTACTATTACTATAAATATTTTTATTCTACATTCTGTAACTTAGTTAATAAATTTATATAAGATGGTTCTTGGTAAAAATAAATATATCTAAAAATACAGATCTTTTTAAGTAATTTAAGACTAAATTAGGTAAAATAAGTAATAATATTAATATAATTAAAATGGTTCACAAGAAACGCATGCGAGCAGCTGATGGGTAATGTGATTCAACTGCATAACGTGAGCTGCACGTTCCCCGAGTGATGTACATATCATGATGGCACAGGTAG